TTAACCTAACCTAACCTAACCTAACCTAACCTAACCTAACCTAACCTAACACCTGACCTAACCTAACACCTGACCTAACCTGGCGCTCTGCGGCCCGGCTTCGCCGGCCCGCAGAGCTGGAGTAGACTCCCATGCCCTCCAACACTCCAGTACACTCTCACACACCTTCCCACTCCGTCTCACATACTCAGACGCCCCTTTCACACACTCCCACACCACGTCACACACTCCCACAGCACGTCACACCCTCCCACACCCTCTTCCCACGCTCCCACGCCCTCTCACACGCTCCCACACCCTCTCACACCCTCTCACACTCTCCCACACCATCTCACACACCCCCACGCCATCTCCACACCCTCTCACACCATTTCACTCCCCCTCCCCGTCTCCCACACCCTCGCCCACTCCCTCTCCCACTCCCTCCCCCACTCCCACTCCCCCTCCTTTCCTGTTTCCTTCTCTTTTCCTTCCCTTCTTTTCACTTCTTTCTTTTCCTTCCCTCCTTTTCCTTCTTTTCTCCTCTTCCCTTCTCTCCCTTCCCTTCTCTCCCTTCCCCTCTTTTCTCCCTCTTTTTTCTCCTTTTTTCTCCTTTTTTCTCCTTTTTCTTCCCTTCCTTTTTTCCCTTCCTTTTTTCCCTTCCTTTTTTCCCTTCTTTTTCCTTTTTCGTCCCTTTTTTTTCCTTTCTTTTTTTTCCCTTCCTTTTTCCCTTCTTTTTTTTTCCTCCCTTTTCTTTTTCTTCTTTCTTCTCCTTCCTTCCACCCCTGATCCAACTCTCCCCCGTCCCCCTCCCTCCACCCACCCGTCTCCGGCGCCCATCCGGCGCGCCAGCGCGCCCGCCCCCCATCGCCCGACATCCTCGCGTTCTCACCGATCTCTCCCATCGCACGACTCCGGCCCAGACGCCAAAGATTCCTCACGAATGACACCCCGTTCCCCCCCCTCCACCCACCCTCTACCCGACGTCCGATCGCGACGTTTCCACCGAACTGCGCGTCGTTTTACCCTCCCGACTCGCTTCCCCTCTTTTTCGCCCCTTCGTCCACAGCCCCGCTTCTCTTCCCCTCCTCCGCCTCGACTCCTCCTGCCTCCCGTACCCTCGCCCGCTACCGGTCCCGGCCGTCGTCGCGTCGTCCCCGGTTTCCGACCGACCCCAAAAAAAAAAAAAAAAAATATATACGCACCCTGCTCGCGTGTCCTTCGTCTACGGATTGTCCCTCGCGCGTCGTCTACGCTCGCCCTACGCCCACGCGCGCTTCGACGCCACGAACCGAGAGGTACGTTTTCGCGCCAGACGGCAGAAACGCGCCGTTCTCACGGACCACGGATTCGCCAGTAGACCGTTCCTCGCGCCACCGACCGACAGATGTGTGGGAGTTGCGCTTCGGGTTTTAATGAGTTACACGTCAAGTTTAACGGTATGTATGTGTATTTCACGTTGCCATGCTTCGGATCCTGTTAAAGAACTTTGATTTTTCAATTCGCGACTCCTTCCGACTCACCCCCGTTCTCCGTCGCCTTTTGTCGCGTGTCGCGAGAGAGATACCACGGTTTCCGTCCTGTCTACCCTTTCTTCTTTCCGATCGTCGTCGTCGTCGTCGTCGTCGTCGTCGTCGTCCGAGTTCCCTCTCTTCCTTCTAGTACGGACACGATTGATTTCAAGATCTCCGTGTCCCTCTCGCGGTGTTTCTCTATGCAACGCAGGCTCTTCGGCTCCGTGTCCGTGATTCCGATGTCCCACACGAAACGGGATCCCGGCGGTGTTCCTGTCGTGTCGTCTCTGTCTTCGCCGGGTGTCGTCTTCCTTCTGTGTGATTGACAGAGTCGTCTGTTCCTTTTCTCTGCCTTTCTCTCTGTCTGTCTCTGTCTTTGTCTTTCTCTCTGTCTGTCTCTGTCTTTGTCTTTGTCTTTGTCTTTGTCTTTCCGGTACACACGAGCGGGACTTACGGGTTTGTTTCTCGGAACGACATCAGTATCGAACAGTCCCTGGCGCACGTGAACAGTAGATAGTTCTGCAACCGACTCGTCCTTCTGGTCGTCCCTGTCTCGCTTTCCTGCTCCGGATCGGATGTCTCTTCCCTCCCGAGTTCGTGTGTCTTCGTCAGACTCGAGTGGATCGTGTCGTCCGTCAACGATTCCCGGTGTTTTGAATACGCGTTGTACACGTGTTCTGCGCTGACGAAGGGTACTTTCTGCATCTCCAGAATCCGTCCCAGTACCGAGTCGTTCGGTAACTGTTCGCCCTTCCAGTTGCACGACTGAAAACGATCGATGCGTGTGCTTGTCAGTTCCAGTGTGCGTCCGTCCGATGATTACTGGTTACCGTTACCCGGGCGTTCGTTTTTCCAGCGTGTCTCGCGTGAACCCGAGTGCGAACCGTGTTCGGAGAGCTCGCTTCCGATTCTGTTCGAGAGAGTAGAGAGAGTCAGACTTACTTCCAGTTTCAAGAGTTCGTCCACTCTTTCGACGAGAGCCTGGTCGATGTAAGGTATCGGTTCCGAGTCGTCGTCGTCGTCGTCGTCGTCGTCGTACGATCCGTGATTCTCCTTGCAATGATTACGGTGACGATTGAAGTCTTTGGAGGAGACGGTCGACCGTGAGAGGGCTTCGTGGATTAGATCGCAAAATTGTTCCGTGTGTTCGCTCGTTGATTCCTCGTTTTTCTGAAATTCTGAACAGTTCCAGGAGTCGCTGCGCTGAAACCACTCTTTTAAGATTCGTTCGAGGTCGATCGTCGACGATCCGTTGCCGTAGACGACTTCGCCGTCTTTGAAGATCTTCAGATTGTTCTGAGGCGATTTTAACAGTCCTCGTAGTGCCTGTTTCATTCGTGTTTTTACGCCGGAGAACAAGTCCAACGGACAGTAAGAACTCCGCTCCTTGATTGTTCCGTTCTTCAACTGAAGCGTGAGAAATTGTGTTACGTTCGTCCACGTTCCCCACGACTGAACGAATACGTACGTTCGCCGAGTGACTCGGTGTCGAGACTCTGTGTTTTTGCCACCGATTGGTCCGTCGAGTTCGTCCACGGGTTCGTCTACGGTTGTGATGCGAGACTCCACGCGCGCGATTCGAGATCCGATACCGTTTTCGACGTTCCACTTGGGAACTTTTTCTAAAGTCCAGAGGACGTCTTCGGTGACCGTGACGTTTTCGAGCTGTGTTTTTCGATCGACTGTCGCGAGATTTATCGCTTGACGATTCTGTGTGATTTGTGAACGGTTCGTCGAACGATACGCGGGATACGTGTTTGCCGTACTACTGTTTCGTCTGGTTCGTGCGGTGGCGTGTTGATTGACGACTCGATATACTCCGTTCACCGAGAGTCCGGGACTGTGCACGGTTCGGTTTTCGCTCGTTCTGCGCGTCTCGATGCTTCACCGTGTCTACTGAACCGTGTGGAGGGGGTTCGTTGCGACCCCCGCCACCTTCCGAGCAGGGATCTCGGAATTTATCCCGCGCGGCTCGCTACCCCTCTTTTTCGCCCGTCTTTCGATCCCCACTACTGTTCTCCTCGTGCGCCTTCGCGAAGCGAACCTGTCGAGTTGTCGAGTACACTACCAGTCCCCGCCGTGGTCGCGTCGTCCCCGCTTTCCGGCCGAGGGATGAGTTCCGAGACCCCTGCTTCCGAGCTGCGCGAAACGGTCCCGCGCTCTCGGTGAACCGAGTATAGATGGATCTACGATCGAGCTTCGAATTGTCAGATGTCGTGTAGTGTGTGACGTTTGAGTTTGAGCGTTGCGAGTCACGACGTACCTTGAGATACTGCATTAGACAATATGGACACTTTCGAATGTTTTTCGTCGACGTGTTGTCGTTTTGTAAGTAGCCTTGTTTCGGTTTGACTTCGACGCAAAATGTTTCACTGCGTACGAAACGATTAGAATCGAATCTCCTTTGTAAGAATGTATAATCTGGATACTTCGTGGCGTGAATGTCCACCGTCTTCTTCCAGCGACGTCCGTCTGAAAAAAAAGTACCGTGTTTTGTACCGTTTCGGTTGAACGTACGATTTTAGAGACAGCGGTTACCTGGTCGAGAATGTCGAATGACTTCTAATAATTGTCTGACGTTTTCGATGTTCAATCGAACGATTTCAGGTACTCGAACGTAAGGACCCAAGAAACAAGAAGCCACCAACTGCACGAACTCCACTTCGCGTTTGACTCGTTGCAGGCCAGCGTTTTCGGGCGAGACACCGTCCTGTGGAAGCAACTTCCGCAGTCGTATTACCTTGCGTTCCTGCGACGTACGGTTGACGAGAGAAGTGAAATTGAAAAAACATAGCGTCGAATGCGTCTCTTCGAAAATATATGATCGTGATCGAAGAGACAAAGTCGACCTTGGAATCTCGAAAAGTGTCCACTTGTCAAAGATTCCTGTTTATCGTAATGTTTGCCGCTTCGTTTGATTGAGCTTCGTACGTCCATAGACGCTTCTCGGAAGCGTAAATGCGTGAAAGGAGACTCGTTTGTTAAAAACGAACGCGCGTGACGCACGGGAGAACTTTAAAAACAGCCACGTCAGCCGATGTATTGATTCAGACGCGTAGGTATCTACGAGGAACGAGCACGTGACGAGTTCGCATCGATACCGCGAAATCGTGTGTTCTACGTTTGATTTTCTGCCTCCACCGTATTTCTCTCTTGACTGACGTTGACTCTCGACTGAATGTAGTACGATTGAATGCTAGGTATCGAATGAAGTTTTAATGTATCGACCCGAACTGTTCTAAGATCAGATTACAGATTTTGACACGCGTTGGTCTGCTGTTTCAGCAATTGTTCCGTTTCGTTTGAACGTTTCTCTTGAAATCGCTTTCTCCTCGAAATGTTCGATCCGAATGTTGCGTTTAAAAAAATTGCGTTGATTGAAGAAATGAAATGATTAGGGAGTAAATTTAATCGCGTATGAAATGAAGATCCAGTCGACTTGTAATGTGAGTGGGAAAATATACTTGCGGACTGACTTTTGGCAGAGCAATGACGATGTTAGAGTTCCCCTCGCCTTTGTAAACGCAATCCACGACGGAAAGTGTTGTGAAAGAAGTAGAAACGGGTTCTGAAATTGTATCTCTGGTAACGTTGACCGAGTTTCCGGTGGAAGTGGTCACCACGGAATTTCCTTCGTCCATTCCCGTTCTCTCGTATTTTCACTCCTGAAAGAAGCGAAGAGAAATGTATTAGTGATGAATGTACTTTGTCACTTTTCACTTTACTACGAAGTTCCTGGTGCTGTACTAGACTTTCTTCTTTGACTTCGTAATAAAGGTTGCATGTTTAACGTTTATTAGCATACGTTTCACTTTTTACTGAACTACGTTTTACAGTGTCTTTGTACGGATACTTTGTACGAATTAGTTGCCGACTGAATTGTATGATTCTGTGAACGAGGAAGAAAATAATTACGATCAATTTCGTGTTTTACTTCGATTTTTGTTTATAAATAATGATTTATATAATTTAGATCGAGCTGATTTTCTTGCAATTCTTCTGCTTCGAATGGCTCTTGATGCTAGTTGATTAGAAGATAGGAAGAATGCTGTCCACTGCATAAACGGGAGAGACACGAGACTGGCTGATCGTGTGCATGGGAGTCGCGATTAATTGTTATGAACACGTGCAAATTTTCCACTTCCACGATTCGTGTTGTTCGCATTGTCTCGTAACGTTGATCCATTTTTCTCGAGCATCTGCTGTTCTACGTCGAATCGTGTGTAACGACTGATGTCGTACGTCTTTCCCGACTCATAGGATATTTGTGTAATTTTTTTGCGTCTACTTACGTGAAACTAGTCTTTGACTCGAACAGTTTCGCGATTAGCGATGTTTCGTTGCAAACGTCGTGAGTATTTAAAAACAAATACGAACCAGTGTGTCCGATTTGAGTGAGAAGAGTTCTAGAAATGATAAGTACTGAAATGCGCTGTGAACATCGATTTTAAGTTTCTAAAAGGTATTCTGTGCTTTTCATTGTATATTCTTATAGTTGTTATCGCGATACTACCGAAACGTGTCTTTAGCTTGAACCATTCCTGAGATACGATACGATAAAGATGCCGCTCCACCAAAATGCATTATATTGATTTCATCCACTTCTGATTAGATACGTTATCAGTGTTTTTTCTTTACGGTGCTTACCATACTCTTGAATGAATCCTTAATTTTTTTTATTACTCATTGAGAAATATACTCTTGAATAAATGTGAAAAAATAATGAAGATTAACCGTGGACGTGTCGAAGGTAAAGCCAAATTTGTCTGACTGCGAGTCTTCCTTGTTTAGAGGTAAACTGTACACGTTTCACGTGTTGAACTAGATTACAATTGATAAATGGTCGTCCCGTGCCTTGCGGCTTTCACGAGATTCGTTCCTTTGATTACATTTTTATTCCGCTTCTTTCGTTTTTCGCTCTCTCGTCCTTCTACCGTTGACCCTGCTTATTCTTAGAAGGTCTTCTCTTTACGCGAGGCGAGGTTGTAGATATTTTAATTACCGCGTTGACGATCAACGATTTGTTTGATTTTAATCGATAGTTGGAATTCATTTAGTTAAAAGAATCAATCGTTGATGAAATGAACTACCCACCACGTTTTATTTATTTACGACGAAAATAATCTTTCTGATTAATAATCCTTCTTGACACGACGTGAACACTCACGATGTTGAGAGTGTTTCGAGAGAGAAAACAGGAAAGCCTGTTATAGGTTAAAACTGAATTCTATTGATCTTTGTCCGTTGCGTTCGATATGACTGATAATTTTTGGAGCTTGTATACACTTGTCCGAAACAGTTGCGAATCGCGGCGAATTTCGCAGACTCGTCGGTTCGGTCGTTAACCTTACGCAAAAATGGATAAGAGCGACACATGGGATCGACTGTGGCAACGTCGCGAGCTGCCGTTCTCTTTTCCGTAGCAGAAGAGACGTTGAAACGACGTGTGTCTCGGAAAACGGTATATACACGGTGTTGAAGAAAAGTGAGACTTTAAGGGCTTTCAGTACTCGACGCAAGGAGCGAAAAATGTCCTGTCGACGTACAGTCCCATGTCCCGTGTACGTTCGTACCCGTTTCTGGACGAGTGATAGAACGAGAAAGACTGAGAATTGTTGGTTAGTGGAGGTCAATCTCGGTTATTGCCCTGAAGTCGAGTACTTGGTTGCCTGGTCCCTCTGATACCTTAAAAGGGCATATATGTATGCTACAGCCTCGATGTGTGTGAATTTTTAACCTATTTTTAGTTTCCCAATCGCTTAACGTTGAAATGTACTGACTCCACGTGTCCAAAAATATGTATGTAATTTCAGACGGAGGTAATTCGATGATTGTTCGAGAGTTGGTTAAACTTTTCTCGTGACGTACAATTACAATGCATTTGTGTTATAGAAAATAAATGTGTGACGCACTACGAACTTTACTTGTGCAGGGTAAATCAGAATGATCGATTAATCGTGTGTGTTTGTAAGATGCTTTGTAAGCAGTTTGTGTTGAATGAAAAATAAATACATACGTCGTTGTATTTTGATCGACAACGATACGATTGTACGAGGCTCTTTAATTTGAATGTCTTCGAAAATAAACGTTTTTTTGTTACTCCGTTCTAAAACTAATCATTTTCTCAGTGTACAAAATAATTATGCTGAAGTCGTTGTGAAATTTTGTATTGAACGTGTTTTAAACGCAAAACGAAGAGAAACACGTTTTACCCCCTTTCGTGAAATGAGATCCAAAATGCATCGATGTTTACGAGATTCGAGAGAAGTAAATTCCCTAAAAATATGACTTCTAAGAAATTAATAAAAACAAAGTATCGTCGATGATCTTGTTTGAATTTAGGTAGTGCGACTTTGACAGAAATTTGACGATTGTTACGCATGAACAATAACGATATAATTTTGTACTTACTTACGTAGAACGTCCAGAACTCCGGTAACCTTCAAAAATATGGTGTCAGGAAACGTATTTTGTAATAATTCTTTTCAACACCACGTAAATATGTTTTCCAAATAAGGACATATTGATTGAATGATTTTATTGTAACGTAATACATTATGAATTATTCTAGTACGACTAAAGGTTAATCAGGATTCAGAAGAGTGGGGATAGATATTATAAAAAGACAAGATACTGTTTTAATTATTTTCCATTCGTGAAATTTCATAAGCACGAGGCCCTTTTGTTTCTTTCTTTTTATTCTTATATCTCTGTACAAAAACAGTCGAAAAAATTATAGATTTTTCTTATTCTCCTGTGATAAAGATTTTGTAATAATTTTTTCGAGCTCACAGCGTATGTACAAGCGGTAAATGATATTATAGTAGATTAATTTAACCTATGAACTAAACAGTAATTATACATTCATATAATTAATGACGATGACCGTGATGATAATAATAATAATAATAATAATAATAATAATAGTAAGAAGATATAATTATAATCAAATGATATAACCTACGGATCTATAGATTTTTCGAGTGTAAAACTTGTGTCTCGTGTCTGCCCATTATAAAGTGACTTCAAAAATCGAGTATACGAACGAACACTTGATGTAAAAATACCAGAAGGACTGTGTGAAAAAAGAATTATCTATTTTTCTGTATATTCTAACGTTGAGTGAACTAGCACGATGAAAGAACATTAGAACTGAAATGATAGAACGCAGAATATTCTGAAAAATTAACTATTTCTTAGAAATTGTACACTCGATCTTTAATTTCACCGTACTTCGTCAAAGTATATATCTCAACGTGTCTATCGAAGCGAATTGATTTTCAGTTTATACAGATGTCCTTCGATACAGGTAAGACATCGGATTTTCATCAGAATGTAGGCGTGACTACTTTTCGGTCCAGCGACTTCACATTTTTCGAAGGAGTAAGTATCGTGTTGGGTGCCATTCGATATAGGTAAGATCTCAAATTTGCATCCGAATGTAGTACCTATGCAATAAGTGTGATTTTTCAACCCCGATGTCACAGTTGTCACCTTACTTCGTCGAATTAGCGACGTGTTTGTCGAAGCGAATCGCTTTTCAGTTTATAGATTCCTTCGATACGTGCTAGTCAGACCTCGAATTCTCATAAAAAATTTGTCGATCTCTTAATTTCGTTTCATTTCTGAATCTTGTTATCGTTATTCTGTAATAATAGAAACGTACAATTGTATGAAAATCCGTTGTCTAATTGCAACGTTGCGTGTACGTGTATACAGTCTATTGAAAAATATCTCCATTGTTTATACTGCACGTTTCGTTTTACACTTCAATCGTCCATGTAATGACCTCATTGCAATTATCAACCTTATAATCTTAACACAATTGTAAGAAGTAGTAAAATTTACAAGTAAACGTAATATGTCTAATTGTAAGTATATGTAATTTCCATGCACGCGTTTCATTAATCTCAGTTTATAATATATGCATTTTATTGTACTTAAAAGAATTGAAATACTACGAAACTTCACGTATAGATAAATATTGCAAATATAGTAAAAAAATCTAAATGGAGACTTGTTTCACTGACTGTATGTATGTGTTTATACGTGTAAGTAATTACTCTTGTGCACTGACCAACAGAGTTGCCGAATTCGGATTATTTTAACGTCCTCGGGCTTTTCGTTCCGACACTGCCCGATGCATTGTTTGTTAAAGTAATGACAATTATACCGTGAATTTTTATACCGAATCAAATCAATAAATTTTTGCCCTAAATATTTTATATTGTACCGATGTCTAAATATTCTCAATATACTTCTTCGTATCGTGTATGTACATCCTGACGTTTAATAAATTCCTTAAAATAGTAAATAAAAATTCACGGTGTAATATAATACAATAAATATACTAAAAGTACATCACAATTAATTAACTCGTTCGTTAAGATACCCAGGATCAAGATTTTGCCCGAGTTGAGCACCCCTGTCGGACTTCACGCTCTCTTACTGCCCGTTCTGTTTTTTCTTCTTAAAATTCCTGCTCCATAATTCTCACCCTCTCCCTCTCCCTCTCCATCTCCCTCTCTCTTTCCTCCTTCCTCACGCGCGCGCTCGAAATTCTTTTTCAAGAACAACACCCTCTCCTTTCTCCTACTACTGTCAACTACCTCGTTTTCGATACCGAGTTACCATTGAATTTAATCAACTTGAATCGTCTTCTAATGCTGGGAATAAGGGAACACGGCCTAATTACAATTTTACGATTTCTCAATTTCGCTCGCTCGCTCTTGTTAAGTTGTCATATCGTAAGCCTCGCTTCTCGCATTGCTCTGAGAAAATGGAGGGAACACTTAAACGTTAAATTAAAATGCGAACGGAAGACGTAACGATAAGTTATACAAATGTAAAGAATAAACCGAGCGCACCCGAAGCATGTTTGTATAATTATAAATATGATTTGATTCAAGCAAATTCATTAAGCACGTGTGAATTTGTATTCAGAAATCAATCGAATGAATTTCATTATCACTATTTATGTGTGTGTATATATATGTACAACTTAATTCTTTGATCATCCATGAAAAAGAAATGGAGAAAAGTAAAAAGTACTTCGCTTTGCGCATTGCTTCGATCGAAATTCACATGATTTATACAGAAGCGTAAGAACCGTAAGTATTTACAATTTCAAGCGTCGATCGGTCGACATATAAATATGAAAATAAAAATTTAAAAATTATTGCATCGCATCGCATCGCATCGCATCGTATTAAAATATGATTTTCATCCATTTTTGTACAAGTTCCCGTTAATTGTTGAATGTACACGCGATATTCCGTTTGCATCTTCATTTCCTCTTCCCTCCTTTTTCTCTTCCATTCTCGGCCACTTTTATAGTTTCTTTATCATGCACAACTTTGTCCAGTGAACAGCGATCCAATCGATATGTACATATACGTCTGTTGTGTGTTTAAACATTATTCAGAGTATTTGATTTATACGCGTAGAAAAAGTTTACTGTGAGCAAATGCTTAAATCAGTTTAAGCTCCATGTAAATCTTGTTTTGAATCAATGGTACTAACTATAACTTTAAGATTGATTTCGATCGAGACTCAATTAAAGTTGCACAATAAAGATCGAAAACAATGTAAATGTTGCAATTTAGCGGACCCCAAATAACTGTTTATTTTTTTTCCAACCTTTCAAAACTCAAGTTCATATGAAGCATATAATATTCAATTTGTGATAAAAAAAGAACTAACGACTTAGATACTATTAATAGGTCTGACAATACTGAATATCGATTTGATCGCTACTCCTGCAAACAAGGTAAATGTCCTAATTCCTGTGTCACAATTTCTACTCACTGTCTTATCTTTCCATCACTCTAGTTAGAATATGCCAGTGATTAGAAACTGGTGAAACGTGAACAGAAATTGTGACATTTATCTCGCGTTTCAAATCTTGCATACTATTCTTTTTTTGTTTATGTTGATGTTGTCTTGTTTTATTTAAAAAAATACTGAATTAACCAAGCTAAAATCACAGACATGCTGGTGGCATATTATCCCAGCCGGTTTTTCCACTTCGTTTTTGTACAAATTCTTCCTGAAAGGACTATATAACGTATATAGGTACAAAATGCATATATACATATACGGTACGTGTCTGTATATGTGCACATTTATATATATGTATAATAATTACAATCCACTCGAGAAACATGCAAATCTATCTCACTCTCTCTCTCTCACACACACACACACACACATTCTTACAAGATCATATTTTGTGGTATCAGTTTGTTCTTTCATTATCCTTCGAAATACATAACATACATACATACTTAAAAAGTGTTCAACATATAATATAATGCTCTGTACTTAAATTCTTTAGTAATTAAAGTTGCGTTAATGCACTGAGACTTATTGAGTTAAGTAAAAATAATTGTGAATTATTGCAAATTGTAATACTACAAATAACAATTATGAACGAAATTAAAATGGTTTTATACATTTTGGTGCGTCTTATCACTTCGTTATTAATTAAAGTTAGAAGTATAGAATTTCAGATTAAAATTAATTACTTAAAAACTAGAGATATGCGGGTATTCGAAAATTCGGATCGTGAATTTTTTCGGACGGTATTCAGAAAGTTCGTCCAACATATTCTTTGGATATGCGAATATCAACTCGGGATCCAAACTCTACTTGAGTTCGGTAGCCCTCGTTGCAATCGATGCCGACTGTTACATGTCACAACATATGGAGACAGTTGTAAAGTTAAAAGTGTAAGATCTGTTTGAGAAATCGTCCTTACGAATGTAACAACGGCTCCTGAGTTGAGTTTCCAGTCCCGTAATCACGAATATCCGGACAAATTTGTGTTGATCAAATTTTCGGAATTACCCGATCCGACCGGAGGCTCAGGTGCCCGAAATTTTCAGATATCCACAAATCCCTGTTAAAAACACATCGATAATCTTTGATAATTGTTTCAAATTAAATTTGATAACTTCGATCATGTACTGTGTACGTATGTATGTATGTATAAATATACTCTTATTGAAATTGATCTTTCCCAATTGCTTTCACTAAAAATGCTGCTGATTGGACATTAATAAAAACTGGTGAAGTTCGTCGAATCTGTAAACATGGTTGGTATAATTGAGAAGAAAGAGCACAGCGAACCTTGTATGCATTGCTTCTCTATAATCCTCATTGAACGATCATCGTGAACAATTTTTATAATACACAGTGAATGATCATTATACAGCAGAACTCTGTTTACATTAATAATAAACAAATTCACGTTCGTATAAGTACCCCATTGACAAAGTGAATTCTATTGGCCACTAAATTTGTTTCAAAGTAAAGTTCCGGCGCAGTACAGTTCTACTGTAAATACATCATTGAACAAACTAGAGAGGGCTTTTTTGTCAACCAATTTTTACTAGATTCGAGAAATAGTTCATGGAAGAAAAGAGATTTCATGAAAGCGCACACACGTTCCTTTTTCAGAGAGAGAGTTCCTCCTCTCTTTTCGGTGAAACAAAAAGAAGAAGAGGAGAGGGTCAGACCATGTCGTTCGTTGTTCCCCCGCTCCGAGTTTCCTTCTTTCTTCGAAGAATTCGACCGGAAGCGATGCGGAAGAAAGCTGAGATCAATGAGAGATCCTCCCCGTGATTTCTCCCAATTGTTTCCAACACATTGGAAAGGCGGTATATATGTATTATTTTCCAATATACTGGAAAAATTCCGGTAGAAGCCTGCTGAGACCTTCCCAGGTGGCACGCGAACAAGCGGGATGAATATTCGAATTTTAATTACCAACAAAATTATCTTCGGTTTCTTCTTTCTATTTTGCAAGTGTCCAAAGCAACGATAGCTGACTTCGAATTGTCGGTACCGTTTCTTTTTAATTATTCGGCAAACTTGTGATAAAAATCACCGTATTTGAAATTTCCTAACAATTCTCGTTGAATTTGGCGCAAATTAGCAGTTAAATACTGCTCTTTTTTCTATGGTTGAAGTCACGTCAAAGAATGTTCAATTTTAACTTCAGTTTGTTCTTTCTATATTGCAATTATCCAATTGTTTGTCTTCTTCAATCCCGAGGCAAAGTTAGCTGACTACAACTGCAAGCCGACATTCTTTCTAATTCTCTGTGTTTGAAATTTCCTAATAATTCTTCTATGAAACGGAATTTGGCGCATTTTCTTTCTGGTGGTTGGAGTTATGGCAAGGATTTGTTCGATTTAATCAAATAGGGTGGTTACAGCATGATACCTGTGTTTGATCGTATCTCTCTTTACAGTCCTCCCTTATCCTCTGCGACGACTCGTTCGTTAAATATTTACAGAAAATTCGATTAAAACTCGAAAATCCCTCCAGACGTTTCATCCTGGACGAAATACTACCTGTCGTTTGAACATGTCCAAGACAGAGACTTGACACTCTTGTACTAACGTATTCTTCCAGCACTCGACTGAAGGATGAACTGATTAATGTTTGCGTGTTCGCGTGCACACAAAGATCGCAATATGTACGTACGTAGAGTCGAATATATGTATATATCACACACGTATCACGAAGAAGCGTATTCGTTATCAGTCTGAGAGCGTGACGCACTAATGGAAACGGAGCGACGTGTTCTTGTTTTTCCAGCTTCTCTCTCGACGCTTCAACTGGAAACGAAAGCTGCGATCTGCTCGCTGAATTGCGAGTGTTCTAGCAGCAGCGAGTCCTTGCAGCTCTCGAACTGTTGTTGTTGCTGCTGCTGCTGCTGCTGCTGTTGTTCTTCGGGTTCGGGTTCGTTCGTGCGCTCATATAGAACGCAAATCGACCCGTTTTCCCCGATCCTGTACGATACCTCCGCCGGGTCGATCCACATCGTTAGCTCGCTGGGGAAAAGACTGTGCAACACCGTGGGTAGCAATCCTACGTTCGCTCCTGCCTGGGCGATCACCGGATCCATTTTACCGTTGATGCGGATGCAGCGGTAGCCGGAACCGCGATTTGGACGATCGGGGAACCAGTGATCCCTGTAACGATGCCGGAGCACCTCCGTCAATGATGATTTGAACATTTCCAATTGGCGCTCCGACAGCTGGCCTGTCTGCAGCCGGAGCAGGTGCACCAGGAAATCCGCCGCCGACACTATTTCCAGCCTCATGGCTGCAACTGCTATAGACCCAGGACGAAGAACTACTCGTTAGGACTCCCTCCTCGATTTTCTCGGTTCCGTCTTGTAGATTAGAAAATATCAACTTCCGCTGATGTGGTCGAAGGCGTCACGGAAATTCTCGTATTCTCGCAACGATGCGCACAGGAGGTCTTGACAAAATGGCGTCGCCGCCACGTCGCACGTTCGCGCAGAATGATATCTCGAAGACGCTCCAGCGCGAAACGCGATATTCAGCTTGTGAATGCGAATATTTCGTCTTTTCCGCGATACGTAGATCGCGTTGTACGTGTGTCAGGCTTCTTCGAAATTTCTTTGATGTTTCGGTATCCTTGTCGATAACACTGTAAGCGTCGATCGTTACGCCGACCTCTTTTCTCTTCCCTTGCTTCTTGTTTCGAACAGGAATCGATTACAGCCTCGTTTCTTTCGAATTTCACGTTCGTACGATACACGTGCACGCTTCTTAAACCAGCAAATCGGAATACCTTTCACGAACCCGAAAAATACCGACGCGCACTAACTATCAAACTGACTGATCCAGATACCGCACCCACCGAAAGCCGACTATTTTCTACCGACAGTGGCAGCGGACGCGAACGACGTAGCTTCGTCCCTTTGTCCATATGACCGATGGTGGGGACAAGACGCGCGAGCCGATTGGTCCGTTCACGGCTGCCTCAGTGGGGCAGCACGTCACGTGACTGTACGAATGCGCGGAGTGGGTGCGTGGTGAAAAAGCAGCTGCGTTCCGAATACAGATTGTCTAAATACACTACGTAACAAGGGGTTCTCAGCCTCTCCGCGACAAGCGTTTGGATTTATTAGTAAAACTGTTTCGTAATTATTAGACTGCGGATTTTATGCATTTATCAAAAGGTTAACACAGATGCGCATTAAATATAAGGTATCCATTGTAAATGACCCGACTTCTGTTCGTGTAATAATTTCCATTTACTGGCTCTCTACGTTCAGTTTATACATGTACAACCATACCAAGCCAGTAAGTAGAAATTGTGATCTGGACAGAAATTAGACAGACATTCAATATATGTAATATGCAGAACAGCAAAAGTATATTATACATTGTTGTTTTTTAGATCTTAATTCTCGACTTCCTTCGATAAATGTGAAGTCGTCGGGACCGAGAAGTGTGAACACATTTGTCCCGAATCTATGTATTCAGTATTCCTTGAATTAACTGTGAAATTGTCAGGGCCGAAAAGTCACACTTATCGTGTAGGTACTACATACATTCTGATGTTAATGTCATGTTTTGCCCACAGCCTCGAACGTAGGAAGACAAAGAGAGATTATGCATCGAACGATTGTAGGATTTATTAATTAAACTGTTTCGTAATTATAATATAATACAACTTAATATAAAAAAAACATTCATATAAGAACAGAAATAAATGAAACGTTTCTTCAATTTTATGATGCACTGAGACATGACATGCTTCTTGCAATAAATGATAAGAATGTGAAAATGGCTCAGACATAAAATGATAGTACATATTATTAAGTGATAAACAATAAGAATTCGTAAATATATGATAAGATAATCACATTATACGTGACTTACAATTGAAATCCACATCGTGTCTCTACTACGTGCACGATCCTAATAATCTTTTTCCAAACACGTTTAAATTTTACTGGACGTGCAATTATTTGGTTTATGTAGAGAAAACAGATTTTTCCGAATACCAAGTTGAATACATCGAAACTGATCAACTTCTATTCCATATGATTAGGTAGATGTTGATCAGACGAAAATGATGTGCTGTATTCTACATAAATATAATGATCGACTGGCATTACTTTTAAACATTATTAGAGTACAGATTCTATTCACAATATGCAAATCGTATCTGTAGAAAATATATTATATTGTAGATAATATTAAATAGACAGTAAATATTATAATACGAACTGCTGCAGACACGAATGGCCTCCCGTTCCTCGCTCTTACAGTTCAAACGTTAAATTGAATTAAACGACAGAGTATAATACAAGAATGAAAACATTACTTGACTCAAGTAAATATATAGAAATAATTTTGCAATGTATTCGTTTGCTGAAAATTCTATAGCTCACTCCCGTCGAGCCTTTGTTTTTCGAAAATACGACAATTCTGTTAATCCCAATATAACTTTCATCTGCTGTGTAATAAATGAGCCCTTTTGGAGGGTCTCCTCTTTTTCTACCTGCCTTGGGTTAAATCGTATTTAATCTGCCTCGGGTTAAACCCAGTTTACAATACTTGGTGCGTATCTGCAGTACCTTTCCGAGCTATAAACTTACACAGTAAACGTAATACTTGATAGTTCTTATATCGGGTGAACAAAACCAATACCTTGACCATCTTCAACTCAATATTTTAAAGTTTGAACTTAGTGGTACGTAGCCCTTACTGTATTAATCTTGTAAAGGTATATAATTCAAATTTCATTTGAATATAATATCGACTTTAAAGTATTATTAGTGGTACGTCGATTCAGACGAAACCCTCGAACGTCGAAAATCTGTGCATCGAATTACGATAATAATGAAAGTATAAGCGTTTTCTGCTTTTAGTATTTTTCGCAATAATGCATGCATTACTTCTTATTCTAGAGGAAGAGGCTGATAAGTTGTTAATGACACGGTTGTAAAATCCATGCTTCGTGTTAGTGACGACCGGTACTTTGACCTATAATCGTCAACCATTCGTGGAACCACGTCGCGCAATTGTTTTCTGAATTAGAGTCATTTTCCCACAGTCGGTCACAGTAATACAAGAAATCAATTAAGAAAGTATACAGCTAACTGTAGACAACTAATCTATAGTTCATATAATAATTTACTAATTCTTTATATGTATTACGAAAATATGAATTTTATATAATTCTCAAGGATAGCCGTACAATCTTTTATGATAATAAAACTATACACGCGGATGTTTTCCCTTACCGAAAGTATAAGAGAACATGTATAACACATTGTAATTATATAGGTAAATAATCTTCAAGTATTATATAAATATGAAGTTGAAACATAATACAATTACTGATATAAACGCATAATATTATATACTGAAACATAATACAAGTGCAATTGTAATAAACTTATTTCCTTATTATACCTTTTCTAAGTTTCTTCAATTGGTTCCTCTGCGTCATCTGTGAATAAAGAAACTCGATGAAAAAAGTGAATCTTAAAGAAATTACTAGAATACGAAAAAGACATAATATTATCAACCTTATTTATATTTATGTATTATATCTTTATTTATATATGATAATTTATATAATATGCCTGAAAACTTTATGTTTCAAGTTACAAAGAGATTACTTGTAAATTCTAAGTTTTCACGAATTTTACAAAATTTTTTACAGTTCTTTATAGTATATCCTTTTATAAAGGAACCTTTTGTAAAACGAGCAAATAACAGTTGGGTTCACGTTGTTCTACGTACAATTCTTTCTAAATTACACCGCTACAGACGTTACAAAAAGAATTTTCTATAAAGAGGATCTTTGTAGCCGTTCTTATTGTAGATAGTCTCTTCAGCACAATTCTGAAGCAGAAATTAAAATGAGAAATATGATTGCACAAATATGAGACTTAAAATTTGGTAGACCAGAGACGGATTTCGCAAAGGGGTAGCATTTAAATTATGGGGGGCAACCCTTCCTCCTTCTAAAAGTTGACCAAAGGGGGAAATGAGGGGGCAGGGGATATAACGTTGTGTAAGCCAACAGGCTCGAAAGCTAAAATCAATAGGGCCTGGCTTGAACCTCGTGCTTCAGTACACTCCCTTTCATAATTTTATAGACGTTGTAGAAAACATACGAATGAAATTATACTATCTATGTACAGTCAACTCATAAACTTAATACACGTATTTTCTATAGACATATAAAACTTAGGATAATGATTCCAATTCATTTTTTATTGTGTTTATTTCTCTGAGGAATTTGTAAGATGTAAATTCGATAATAACTACTTTTATCATAGAACAGAAGGAAGATGAGATATTGCAAGATGATGAGTAAAAAATTAAATTTCTCGTCTTTGACATGCAACAATTCAATATGATAATGATATTTCTAAGTAAAATGATTCTTAGCTGAAATACTCGTCTATCCTCCTAACTCTTGTTCCTTCGAACGAGAAGTAGGATGGATCTACGAAACAGTTAGATGACCCTGATGTTAGCAAATCGCCGAGCCTTTCGCCTTAATACAAGCCCACGTATACCAACGGATAAATAATCCTGTTTCTCGTCTATTCGCATTTTTTAAAAGCTGTTGCTATTCGCTGTATATCTCTTACTTCTTTTATTAACGTTTAGTACGAGTGTGGATTTTATATGTGCTTTCTTTCTACGCGTTACGTACCATAGTAATTACCAAACTATTCACAATGAGATTTATTTAACTTGGAAAACATTAGATCAGATACTGCCTACATTGTTTTAAGCTCATAAACAAGTTGAACGCACAATAAATGATTAAATGTTAGATCTATTAGGACACAGGCCTGTGTTGGGACGTTGAAGGAAACTCTCATGAAAGAGAGAGACCTCACCCACTTCCTGACCTCCTCTCTTTCTCTTTCCCAATGTCAAAACCAATACAGTGCATACAATAGATAAAAATCTATCCTTTACACTTTAGAGGCTGTACTCTACTACATTAACTACTTTAAACAAGTTTAATTCTCTAGGATCATGCTTAAAGTAATTCTTTAGTTCAAGAAAGAAAATTCTATAGCTCACTCCAGCCGAGCCTTTTCGTTTTTCGAAAATACGACAATTCTGTTAATCCCAATATAACTTTCATCTGCTGTGCAATAAATGAGCCCTTTTGGAGGTTCTCCTCTTTTTCTACCTGCCTTGGGTTAAGTCGAATTTAATCTGCCTCGGACTGCCTAAACACTATTACAACACGGTTTACAATACTTGGTGCCTATCTGCAGTACCTTTCCGAGCTATAAACTTGCACAGTAAATGTAATAGTTGATAGTTCTTACATTGAGTGAACAAAAAATACCTTGACCATCTCGAAAATCTCACTTCTTTTTTATAATATCAAAAAAATGTTAAGCGGAAATATTGTTCGGTTTGACGGGGCGAATAAACATGATAAACAGGTAATTTTTCTCGAGGTATTACTTTTCGAGATTTTTAGGCGAATTTCGTTTCTTTACATGGAATTATAGTACACATTTTAATACATCGTTCGATGCTGCGCGTTATGTTCTACACAAATGTATTAAATCACTTATGTCGAAAAATCATTAGTTTAAAACGTATTATCATGTTGGAAAGATAGTATTATTTTTATTTGTAAGAATGTCTAAGAAGATCTTTAATTTTTCTTACCAAAAAATTTCAATCAAAATGTCGCGGAGAGTTGAAGAATCATTTAGAAATCGAATAAACATTGGCATTCAGACTGAAGGGCATAGCCTCGAACACCGACATCAGAAAAGTAAGTGTATATAAAATACTTACGTGATCAGCTACACATACAACAGAAATAATATCTTTTAAAATTCTAAACTAATAATTTTTCGTCGTTAGCAACTTAATAATTTTGTACAAAGAATAATAACGAGCTGCATCGAATGGTCATTAAAAAGTGTACGTATAAAAATGTATATCTGTAAGTATAATTTTTTTTTTTTTTTGTTAATTGTCGACATAAATGTACGGAAGTCTTGTTTCAAAATTGGTTGCTACTAAAATGAATTTAATCAATTTCGAGGAAAATATACGTTGTAACGTTTTAAAAAGTGAAGAGTTTCTTTGGACAAGTTATCACAGCTCGTCGCACGAAGCTTGGTTAACTGTTTAAAAATAAGCAGTAACCGATTGTCGGATCAATTTATTTTGTTAGAACGTTACATAAAATGGACACGCACGATGACGTAAATGGGAGAAGAAAAAAGAGTAGGGTTCATAATAGGTCATGGGCTTACGTGGGACGTGGGGTGTGAATAGACAGGGAATTGCTAGTAATAAAAATTGGTTGCCACGGAAGAGGTGTTTATAATTCGTTCAGCGAGACGAGGCATCAGAAAAACCAAATATCAGGTAGGAAATGGCCATTACATTTTCTTATAATTACATAAAATTCGCAGTCTATTAACCGAACAATAATAGAAAAACGTAAATATGTAGAATACAAGAAAGAACTTTTATTTTCTCGTTAATTACTGGACTCTATTTTTATTCTTCTAGATTCTGTTACTTACTAGAACTCGTATTATGCACAGAACAATTAACGATGCGAACTACAACAATTTTGACATCTGTTAAATATGTCCCTGATATTAACGATTTTATGAAATCACGCAGTGTTTGATTTCATTATGTGATGAAGATCATTAAATAATTTATGGATTGTGATAAATTAAAATATGTTTCTTCTCGTGAATTTATAATGAAATCGGCTCACCTTGTATAAATCACAATCTATAAGTTAAACAGCATGAATTGCAATTGCGCTTAACATCTCGGTTTACAAAGCAGTTTCTTCTTTTCACATCTATCTAGAAATAATTATGAACGAGTAACTAAAAATAAAAATTATCAGCAGGAAAAAAGGGACGAAGCATGAAGAGTGATGGTAATTATGGATAATCGTGAAAACAAACGAGCCACTTTCTAAGAGAGCACATAAACAGCTTCGAGCAATCTATTCGACTTTATTTCGAAACACGGACTACAGACCGAAGAGAAAGTCTCTAAATAGATGTAATCTTTGCTTGTGTATCACACAGAAGGATGAATTAATTGATTTATCGTTTATTCGTTAATTGACTCGGCGTCTACAGGAAAGTGGCAACCTGATAAAAATGAGAAAAATTCTTTCTGGTCATCTTTTTCCATCTCCCTTCACTGTACATGGTTTCCTTAAATTTACATATGTTTACTTAATGGAAATTAATATACATATAATGTAATGAGAAGTTTCTGAACAAAAATGTGTAAAACTATAAAACCAGTTGAGAATTTGGAGACGTGGGATAGTCGGCTTGCAAAGGCACTTGCGTGGGCAACAACGAGAAAGCTGGTACCCTATCTATACGTGAATACATAGTCGTTCGTGTCTGTGTGAATCGTGTAGAAGGCGTCACGTTTTTCTTCTTTGTGTTCCCCTAAGATGTGTAGCTTACGTGATCGTTCACACGAACTCACAAGCGTAAGAATATCAGATAAAAGAGTTGGACTGTTTGAAATTCGTATTACTTGCGTTGTTGTGAAATACACGTTATCATCGAGAGTATAAAAGTATGTTATCATCAACCAAAATTAATAATTAGAAACCAGCAATAAATATGAACATGAAACAACAACTAAATATTCTATTCACGTATCTATATTGTATATTTTTAGTTTGTATCGAAACCTCGCATAGACTTTGAGCAAAAACACTAGACTTTAAGGAAAATTGAAAAATTGAATTCGTTCCAAATTAGATTCGATGTCTGGAAATCGAATATTTTTCATACCAAAGCCTCAAACATGTTATAATTAGAAAACATGTGTTAATTATTAGATTAGTGTTGTAATCGTAAGATTCTAATACATATGAAATAACAGCTATTATTAAAGGATTGTATAATTATCCATTGTGCGCGTTAATTTCACTGGACAAGCATTATAGTATAGGATTGCATTATCGTTTCTTAACATTGTTTACGCATTTTCTCTCTTATCGTTGGATTCCAAGTTGGATCGTTATCCGTTTATCACAGTCAGTCAGTTTGTCACAGTTATTAGTATTATCAATATCGACGCAATAGGAACGTTGAGAATTACGTGCGTTTTTAAGGAATTCAATAGTCTGTCCCTACACCAGGCCTCCATGCCATGGCAGATGTTTTTTCGGAGGGCGACGGCAACCATCGCGTCACAATGAGTGTATCCTTTCCAAAAGGTTTCCCCTGTTGCCAGATTTTCACTACCGAAGCCCTTCCTTTGTTCAGACAAAAATTCTTGATACTATACCCATGCAACCAAGCCAACCGAAATAATTATCAGTGTAGTAACAATTCATTATTATCATCCTGTTTTCTATTCTCATAAGGTTTTGTATTTTTTATGTCTACGCTACTATACATACTATTTAGTAATGTACGATGCTGAAAATGCGTAGTAGATCATAAAAACAGTCAACTGATTGTAGATTATTTTTAGTAAAAATAGTAAAAAATAGGTGCATTCTAATCTAATCAGGTAGTTAATAAAAACGATTAAACATCTTGATAAGACTTGAAAAAGTCGACACTAACGATCTTCGAACTTGTTTAGCTTCCAACTGTAGAATGTTACATCAGAAAGTGTTTCCAATACCTGAACTCTCTTTTATTTTTGCTGTTTACTTAGCAAGTATCATGCGATGTTTTCACATGCAGTGTTTCGCCATAAATAAACGATTTCTACTTATAGCCTTAAATAATAATCCAAGATAAATACCTATATGAGACTGATAACACGAAGTAACAGCAATAACAGTCATGTACTACTATAAATCAATCTCTTTTATATACTTTTTAATTCCTTCGACATTATTGTCGTTATTAAAATTGAAATAAACGAATTTAACGAAACTAACTAACTAAAATATGCTTTTTAATCTGTTTTAAAAAATTTTCATAAAATGTATTAACAATTCATTTTATACTGTGAACGCACATAACTGAATTTTTTTCAAATATTAGCCAACAGTGAACACATTGTGAACTTGATCCCATCGCTACTTCCCTTCTGTCGTACTTTCCCCACCAGCTGCAAGCCCAGAGCTCCTTACACAATTTTCCCATGCCTTCCCACGCTCTGTTCTACTCTACACAGAGACAGACACGCGAGTCACGAACATATTTACTGGCATGTAATCAACAAATGTATAACGCCCACAATATGCTAGCCTTTTACGTTTTCCAGATTTTTATCAAAAATTAAGAAACAGTATTATTTTTCACATTAAACAGCTATCATAGATGTTATGCGAGTATCGTTTTATCATCGTTACAAGAGTGAAACGACCGTTGTAACTAATCTCTTAAACATTGGATATCGGAAAAGACGTAATTTATACTGACAATAATGTTTGAATAACTACTTATCACGGATTCATATCTCGATCACGAACTGAAGCTGATCACTAACAAAAGACTGAGCGGAATAGAGCGTAAAGACTGCGGATTGCGGATGCATTTCTAGCAAAATTAGGTATGTAAAGGACGTAAAAGATATATACTGTGGATAAAAGTACATAAATTATCAATAGTAAAATGAATACAATGATGCTTAAGGATGTACTGGCGATATAGTCAATCCCAAAAGTGTATGTACCTTAGAAAGACGCATTTCCGATAATTAATTAAAGAAATCAGACGTCGGAAGAATAATGCTAATAATAAATAGCTACGTGCTAAAAAGGACGACGAGATCTACAATTTCTGTATAAAAATTCTTCGCTAGCATCAATACTTAACGAGTTATTGACGAAAAACGAAAAAACAGTTTTTTGCAAATTGCTCGTTAACTATTGACACTAGCGAAAAATTTTTATATGGAAATTGTAGATCTCGTCGCTCTCTACAAGAAAGATTGAAGGACGTTGTTACTAAATTTAATTTCTTAAGTTAATACTGAAAAAGTTATATTTCGTATAGAAATCAAATAGCAATCTAATACATCTAAAAACATGTAATATTACATGAAAAATGCGCGATACAGATGGTAAATTCTGTTGAGTTTATTTTCAATTAGAATCAATCAGTTCTGTTACAATATGTACATTGAACTTAAACTTGATACTTGCAGATTATTAAGTGATTTACTAGATGAAATGAATAATTGTACGAAGCCTAAATTTGTTTTTTTTGTAGAATTTTATAAAAAGAATCATGAAACACTTGACCGAATCAAAACTCGTTGCGAATCGGTAACGAAAGTTGGTCAACATCAGAATTTCTCTGTTTTATGGAGCGAACAGAAATGGCATTCATCACTTCATAAAAGCTGTTTCACTGCTATCTCTGTGTATTCGAATGAAAGATTCCAAGTATCTTTTCCGATTTGTTGACAAAAAGTAAATGTGCAAAGCTAATAATGGACAGAGTGAATCAATAAGATTAACCTTATAAAATGTAGTTGATTATGTTCACAAGGGAGAAGAAAGAAACGAATATAGAGTGGATAGAGTGCGAATTAAGATTTACTGCGAAAGTTGAAAGGAAGGAAGGAAGGAATTCATCGATCTAATTAATTATTCTTCCATTTCGTTAACTGAGTATTTAAGTGTTGTTTAGTATGTACTGGATCGTATTAATTCTTGCATAAATCCAAATTCGATGAAGGAAAATATTTTGTAAGTACCTCGAAAATTGAGGTCAACTATAAATTTTTTCAAACGGCAGGATTATTTAAAATGTTAATTTCTGTCAGCAGCGTCGATGAAAATTCATATTGACATTTTTATTATAAGGAATTCTTTCCGTATACATACATACATGTTATTCGACAACGATATACGAAATATGAAAAGCTGAGTGGAAATTGCAATACTTAAAATTTTTAAATGCAAAATAATAAACATTTTAAAGAGATTTTATAAAGTAGACTGTACCTATACATATACATATGTTTACTGGATGATGGTAACGCTACGCTACTGGCCCGAGTATCCTCCTCTTTCATCTTTTCCCCACCGCAGCAGTATCAGTGGCTTTCACGCCAGCTGCTTTTGTTTCTTTATTCTTTTTCAACTCTCTATCTATCCTCTCTTTTCCGCTCTGCTCTCTACTTACGCCCCACTCGTTTCAGTGTTACTCACTCATTTCACTCGACTTGGCAGAAATTCGGCAACGCTGCACCAATTATTCACGCAAGGAAATACTCGTGAACGTATAGTACATAAAATATCACTGCTCTAAAAGCTTGTCACGTTGAAGCCATTCATAATTGATTGTTCAAAGATTATAAATATTTTTCAAGTTATAATAATTGCAACCTAAATGAGTATTACGATTGGCAAAAAAATATTTCAATTTTTATTTAAACCCATAAAAAATCTCAAAGCTATTTCAGCTGCACCTATCCAATTCTAAAATCATACTCCACACACTTATGTCTATACAATACAGAGTGAGTCAGTAAGAAATATCATCTACAATAAATTAAATAATGATTTAATGAAAAGGACATTCATTACTTATATGGTGGAAATAGAATTTCTCATTCGTAACAGAAATATGATCAAACACACAAACATTCATAAAACAATAAGATAATATTAACTCCATGGTCAATATAATCTGGAAAAATGTATGCTCTTTATTATAATCTACATTAATTTTGTCACATTTTTCAACTATTCATTATTCGATGAAATGCAGTAGCCAAACAAAAGATATGAGATTTCTTCTACCGACCTACCATTACTTCGATGTTAAACTATGGTTATATTAAACTCTTCAGGCCCCAAATATTTGTTTAAAACATTTTTTTTCGACAACATTCATTGTCACAGTTCCAGTGATAATCAAGGTGGACAAAGTTACTTTCTCACCCTGTATGTATAGCGTATTATGGAAGGAAATAAGATCATCCATTACCTTTTCTGTTCTTTTCTCTTTCGTCTACACACGAGAAATGAAACAGGAAGAATTACTGTACGTATAACAGTGAAAAATTAGTCTGCTCGTTTAGTCAACTATATCAGTTCTCATTTTATGTATCAAATATACATGTAATAAAAGCGAAGCTCACTTTGAATTGTAATCTTTATAAGTTTCGACATTTTTCATTGACCGATTTACATACAGAGTGACAGAGTACAGACAACAGTATCGTAAAATTATCCGCTGATGATTGATTTACATTGATGTAAATTGTACCAGGAAACCTCTGTTTTCATTCAAAATTTATTTTTTCGTTAATACCTCATTAATGATATACGATTTTCGATATGCCTGATATTTAAATTGTGAGATATTAGTGGATGAAAATTGATCCATAATTTATATTAAATAAATATTCATAAATATAACGTAAATTATCAGATATTGCCAGATTCTAAAGGGTATCTCGTGGAATATGATTTCCGATATTTTTTGTATCCAACATCTGGAATTCTATTGTTTTGAACCGGTGAATTCCAACAAACAAAACTTTATACTTTCTTCTTTTTCATCTGTTTTTCAATGAGATTACGCAACAAAAAATAAAAAGAAGTGTGCGCCAATCTATTTTTGCGATCCGTTCACGTTCTAAATCTTACGTGATGAATTAAAAACTTTCACAATACCTCTGATATTGAGCTAATGTCATGCTACAGGTTAGAAAGCAGCACGTCAAAATCGTTCCAACTGTTTTTCGCTTAACAACTTTTCAAGGAATCAATTCCATAACTCTAAATTGATTTCTTCATCTGATTTGACACTTAGATTCGATTCGAAGTAAATTTTAACTATAAAACGGATTTGCCAGAGGAAAATTTACCCACTTACTCCTGACAAGAACAAATTTTAATTTTTTTAATTCTTTATTTAATAATTAAAAATAAATTAATTTCATGAATTCGTGCACAATACGTTTCAATAAAATTCATTAAGTAATACGTTAGTGTATATGCTACTTCTTACTGACTCACCCCGTGTATTCTCACATATCCTCCAGTCTTCGTATCAATTTTCAATTCGCGTATAACGTGCATATAGACACTTACAATTAGAACTGTATGTTTTCGAGACGTAGTATAGCTTACCACACTCACTTTTGACCCTCAATGTATATGCCTATATGTATGTATACAGGGTGATCCGTTTATTTTGAAATAGATCAATATCTTGTAAAAAACATTTTCAAAAACAACGTTTCGAATAAAAGTTATTATAGGATCGTCGGATGATCGGATGAAATCTTCACTCTATATTATTGCTTTCAGGACAAAAGTGCACAACTTTTGTTCCAATCACCCACTTTGTTAGTTATTAATACGGTGATCGTATTTTTCGGAGCGAAATCGGGGACAGAAAAAAAGGTGGGAATTATGACAACACACAAACAGCAAACAATAACTAATTGAAATGCTATACAAGATGCTATAATCCTATACAAGAATTGTGTTATTTTTTCCTGTTTGCGTGTTGTTATAATTCCCACCTTCTTCTTTGTCCCCAAAAATATGGTAACCGTAACTATTACTAACTTAAAAAACGGAAGAATCGAAGCCCGATTGGTCGAAAAACGACATATTACAAGGACACGGAAAACAGCCGTAAACGCATCGAAAATAGAACGAGTTGCAATAACAACAAATGAACAAATGCGATGACTACAACCTTTTTTCTTCTAACGTAAAACGACCATAAATACAATTCCCCTTACAATTCTCTTGTTCTTCACTTTGTTCTTCTAAATATTTAATCGCGATTTATCTTATGAACATAATACTTAACAAAAAAGTGATTGAGACGAAACCTGTTCACTATTCTCCTGAGAATATAAAGCAATAATAAAAAGTAGAGTTCCTATGTAATAAACGATTTGTACTCCACACAACTTTTAAACCTCCGTTATTACAAAGAAATGTAATGTGATCATTGGATCCAGCTCGGAATCCAACAACTTTTATTGGAAACGTAATTTAAAAAAAAGTGTTGTTTACAAGATATCAATTAACTTGTCTCAAGATACAGGGGCACCCTGTATATGTAATATGTGTTACTCCCCCCTTCGATTATGCCACTGACTCAATCCGACCGAGACGCACAGCTTGTGTCCTGTGCCTGTGAGCGTTGTTGCCAAGCGGAAATCACGGCGTGCTGCGTTTTCTTATTCCAGGCGAAACGATCGTTGCGCAATGATAAACGAAACGTTTTTCCAAATTCGAATTATACATGAGGTGAACCGTTCCAATTTCTATACACTGGCATACCTCTTTATCATTTTATGTCATCTTAAAAAAATTAAGTCGATTGGCCTGATGTTAAAAAAGTTATTCTACTTTGAAATGTTTTCGAATATTAATACGAATCTCAGTATATATAATTTGAAAATCATATTATATATCTTTCAGCATTATTCTTTTAGTTTTTCGTATTTAATACAGTCCTTCATTACCAACCTGTACCCATTTTTCCCATTATTAAAATATTAAAAGTTCTAATAAAGAGTATAAGCTGCACTCTTTCAAACTTAGATATTGAAAAAGCATAGCTTATCAGGAAACTGATAATAAAGTGGATCAAGATTAATATCCAGCAAACGATAATTTAAGATATTAAATGTCACATCATGTGCCTATGATCTGTCTAGTAAGCTGCACTCTTTAAAACTTTCAACCCATATACATACTTACAGTTCATTCACTTTTTTTGCTATAAGTATTTGTTAGTTCTGTTTAAAACTCTAAGCCCAATAGGGCGAGGATGGGTAAATAAAATATA